TGGCCACAAGTGCTTCTGCTTTGCTTACACCATCAACTTTCTCAACTGCAATCCCTCAGAAAAACCCTAACTCCATCTCTTTCCATGGCCTTCGTCCTCTCCGCCTCGGTGGCTCCTCCTCCTCCGCCTTACCAAAGCTATCCACCACCACAAAAAGATCTTCCTCCGCCGTGGTGAGAGCTGAGCTAAGTCCTGCAGTCGTCATAAGCCTAAGCACAGGTCTCTCTCTCTTCCTTGGAAGATTCGTCTTCTTCAACTTCCAAAGAGAGAACGTTGCAAAACAGGGATTACCAGAACAGAACGGTAAAACCCATTTCGAAGCCGGAGATGATCGTGCTAAAGAATATGTTAGTCTCTTGAAATCGAATGATCCTATTGGATTTAACATTGTTGATGTTCTTGCTTGGGGTTCTATTGGACACATTGTTGCTTATTACATTTTAGCTACTTCAAGCAATGGTTACGATCCAAGCTTCTTTGGTTGATTTGGTTCAATCTCTATATGTATATGTTTGACTTGTATCTCAAGCTATCTAATAATATTCTCTTCTCTTTGTTTCTTCTTCCTTTGTTGTATCCTATGGACACATTGTTGCTTATTTACTTCTTGCATGGATAAGATCCAAGCTTCTTTGGTTGAATGATTCAATCTTTATTTTTTGGGTTTATTGTATATGTTTTGACTTGTATCTCAAGGTATCTATTATCTTCGTTTCTTCTACTTGTTTCTGTTGTTGTTTTCTATTTGCATACATAGTCATTGCAGAAGTAGAAATAACCAAAAAAGAAAAAGTCATATCGAAAATGAAACTCGAAAACAGAGAAATGAGGTTCTGAAAATGAAACACAAAAAAACAGAGAAATAAAGTTGCATCATAGAGAAGACAACAACAGAGAAACACTACTCAGCCTCCTCAGACGCAGTCGCTGCATCATTCATCGCTGCATCAGACTCCGATTCATCCGTTTCATCATTCATCGCTGCATCGGTCGCAACTGCAGTTTCTGCAACATAAGAATCAATTAAAGTTGTCAAAATGAAACACAAAAAAAAAAACAGAGAGATAAAGTTACAAATAGAGAAACACTACTGACCCGCCGCAGCCGCTGCATCAGTCGCAGCGCGGGAAGCCATTAAAGATCTGTACTCCGAGATCTCTTTCCTAGACCTCTCCGTATCCTTACGACCTTTTTCTTGATAAACCTGTTTCAAGAACCATTAATCAAATCGATTAAATCTCATTCGAGATAAGAGGAACTCTAAAACGTAGTTTAGATTCATTATTTTTAAGTTTTATTAACCTCTCTATCAGATTTAGAGAGACTTCTCCACATTTTCCCAATTGTTTGAGTGAGAAGTTGTCCTTTTCCAACGAAATGAGGTCTAAGCCTCTCGTAGTTTTCGGAATAGAAGAAGTTATAACCGCTTCTGTGCGACTTAGGTTTCTTAGGATCTGATTTCGATTTCTTCTTGCGGCTTGGAGATTCAAGACGGTAAACCACTCCTTTGAGCTCTTTTGAATCCATCTTCACCCTTACAAAATAACCGTTATTGAACTTCCCTTCGATGATCACATCAACCGCGGTTCCAGCTTGCAGTGCTAGAGTACATGAAAGCAAAAATCAACACTCAAAATAAGATTGGAAGAAGTGAATTTTTTTGGATAGAAAAAGATGAAATTCATTAAACATATCGAAATAACGACTCTACATCGAAAACATTCGAGTATTATAGTACCATTGTCATGATTTGCCGATTTTCCGAGAAGGCCGCTTAGTTCTTCTTCTGCGAAAAAGGGAAAAGACTCATGTTAGCTCCATGGAGAATTAGAAAGAGACATATAAGAAAAACATGGTTGGTATTATTCAGACCTCTCGCCGCGAATGAAGAAGCTGGTTTTTTGAGGTAATACACATGCTCGAATTTAAAGAGCATTGGCACATAGTGCTTCTTCAAAACAAGTGAAGCATTTGTTATTGGGGTCTTCAAACCAAATGTTGCAATCACTTCAGAGCATTTACGGTCCTTGATCACCTAGAATCAAAAATGTTTTTTTTTGTTTGCAACGAACCCCATAAATTAGATCAATTGTAAACGGTATGGTACTATGAATTAGTTACCCTTTCAAGACCACGTCGAGCTGTGACCTCTTTGAAAAGCTTATGCAGACAGATACTTTTTCCTTCCACAGTAGGAACCCTTTTACAAATCATATACATAAAGCAAAAACCATAAAATGTTATCAATTATAGAACAAGCAATAAACATGTACCATTAGAGTATAAGATAAATTTTCATTTCCCAAACATTTTACTCAAAGCAATTTTGGACTTAATGGTAACCAAAACAACACATTCTTAAACCCCTTTCATGGCTTTACCATTTCTAGATTTAATATAAACCAAATCAAATCTGATTTGTGTTGCCTTGTGATTTTGGACTAACCAGATTTACAACAGAATAGATCTAATTTAGTAAGCCATATACATATTTCCTCTATATAGAAAAAAAATCATTTCATTAAAACCCTTGTTGATTTCTTATTCCATCACCCCAAACAAATTTAATCAACTCCTCAAACCCTTAAATCTAACACAATACAAGTCATATATATCTGATAAATTCAAAAAAAAATTGTATGATATCTCTATAAGCAAAACCATACGGTCTGATGTAAATTAGGGTTTTTCCAACTACGATTGAGAATTATTAATTTCATTTTGTTATGAGATTACGGAAAACGCAAAATCCAAAAAAATACTAAATTTTAAATTTGTGTATAAGTAGATCCTTATATAGTTTATATAATAAGGGATAAGACAAAACTTACGTCAAAGGTTTGTCAGTATATCCGAGAAAATCACGGAGTTTCTCCCAAAAAAGATTAGAGTCTTGGACAAGATCCTCGTACGTAGTTATACGAGAAGAATCAGAATTGGTCTTGTTGTTGTCTGAAGAAGATCCATTAGCGGAAGCTACTTGAATTTGCGATAAATCATCGGTCGACGTCATTTTCTTTTGTTAAAGAGTTGATAAGATTTTTGTAACTTTCAATGGTAAAAAAGTGATATAAACTAGTATGATGAGATGAATTTCTTCTAATCAAGCTAATATTTATATAGATTTTTTCTTCACTTTCCACCACATAAAAATTTATTACATTTTTTATCTTATTATCCACAGATAAAATAGTTTTAAAATGTTAAATAACTCTTAGCGATTTTTTGGTAAATATTTTAAATGTAGTCAGCGTATTAGATTTTAGCAAATTTAATATTAAGTTAAGTGATTTATTTTTGTAGGTTTGATAATTGAATAAAAACACATTTACTTTTATTGATTTTTTCGGATATATAGCTAGTATTTTATTTTAGGTGAAACATAATTAATGGAGGACAAAAATGTAGATGATTTAAATCAAAATATCTTAAAGTTAAAAACTTGAGGATAAGGATTCATTCATTCTTTATATAATTCCTTCTCTAGTATTTTATCATCCTTCGATTCTCTTTCTTGTAAATCTACTTTATAAACTCAAGAACATGAAAATATAACAGCTACTACTACAGAGATTATTGCAGATACTGGTACAGGAAACGAACACAATACACAAGGGGTTTTTCTTCAAAACGCTTTACTAGATCGAATGATTCGTGCACTTACAAGTTTCACTCACACTTCAATCCTAGCCTCACACGTTCACAAGTCACACATGATCTTATGAACCATTCTCTACCCCTTAGCCCCTTGATTCAAGATCTCCTTTTTGCTAGACAACCTTGAATCCCTTTTGCTAAGACGTAAGCTCTAATTGTGTTAACTTTTCCCAAAGTTAACTCTAACCTATTTATACCCAATAGGCAAACGTCCAGACCTAGTCTTGGTCCCTACTCCACGCAAGATCTTGATTTCTTCAAATATTCGTGAGTATATTCTCCTTCCTTATTCTTAGCACAAGATAAGGAAGGTCTTCAAACTTGGATCCTCTCCAAGTATATCTTCTTAGATCCTCTCCAAAAATATCCTCTAACTTAGTTGTGTCCTCTTGGGCTCTAAGCTAGCTTCACACATCCAGTTAGGCCCATCTCCTTGAGCCCACGTCGCTTAAGACTTCACGTCATATGCTTGCACCGCTTCCTGAAGTACTTCTTAACTGCTTCAGGCATCGCTTCAATCAGCTGCATCTTCACTTTCCAAGGAACATCTCCATCTCACCTAGAGCATCAAGTCACGTCCATCCTTGCTCAGTCCAGCCCACTCTTCAAGCCCATGAGGCCTTACGTTCAGCCAGTCCGCTCGTACAACCACCTGTAGTACTTCACGACTGATACATGTCACTGCTACAGCAGGTACATCTTCAGAACAAACTAGTACCTTGTTGAATCTCCTCCCAAAACATACTCAAGATCATTTTTTATTTGTTTAGAAATTTCGTGAACGTGATTTGTATGATCTGTTTTTTGTTCTATCGTTGGCGTGAATGATTGTGAAATAATTGAGTGATTTCGATCCGTAAACAATATATTTGGGTTCACAAAAAAATGTTTTCTTGTTAACACATAAATAAAATAACTTACGTTTTTACATCACACAATATAGTCTTACGAGTCAATTCATATAATTAAAAAATCTTACAATTGTATCCACATTATTCACAATGTAACTCTCGATATAATAAAATACTAGATTTTTGTCCCGCCTCAAAAGCARGATTAGAATATTAAAAAAAAAAGTTTTATGATTTTTTATAATAAACTGGAGAAATTAGAAATAACAAAGATCAAATGATATGTCTTCCATATAGATAAATATATTTTATCTTACAAAATTTTAATTTGCATGACACTTAGAGTAAATGTAAGCGTTTTTAATGTAAATTGAACACGTTTGAGATCGTCGTATCTTTCAAACTTATTTGAGTTAAAAAAAA